GCCTGCTAATCTTTTGTTGAGAATTTTTGCATCTATATTCATCAGGGATATTGGTCTATAGTTTTCTTATAGTGTCTTTGGCTTTGGTGTCAGGGTAACGCTGGCCTGGTAAAATGAGTTTGAAAGTGTCCCCTCTTCTTCAGTTTCTGGGAAGAATTTGAGAAGTATTGATATTAATTCTTTAAATGTTTGGTAGAATTTGCCAATGAAGTCACCTGGTCCGAAGCTTTCTATATTTGGAGATTTTTGATTACTGATTCAGTCTCCATGCTTGTTACTGATTAGTTCAGATTTTCTGTTTCTTCTTGATTCAGCATAAGTAGTTTATATATTTCTAGGAATGTATTCATGTATTCTAGGTTGTCCAACTTGTTAGCATATAATTATTCATAGTAGCCTCTTACGATCCTTTGTATTTCTATAGTTTCCATTTTAATGTCTCCTCTTTCATTTCTGATTTTATTTAAGTCTTCTGACTTTTTTCCTTCATCTTTTTGAAAAACCAGCTCTTACCTTCATTTTTTTCCCTGTCGTTTTTCCGGCCTGTTTCATTCATCTCCACTCTGGTCTTTGTTATTTCCTTCCTTCCGCTAACTTGGGGCTTACTTTGTCCGTTCCCCCCCTTGCTCCCTTGAGGTGTAAAGTTAGGTTATTTGAAATGTTCTTAATATATGCACTTATCATCATAAACTCCTCTCAGAACTGCCTTTGCAGCATTCCAGAGGGTTTGGTATGTTGTGTTTACATTTTCACTAGTTTTGAGATTTTTTTTTAGATTTCCCTTTTGATTTCTTCTTTGACCCACTGGTTGTACAGGAGTGTGTTGTTTGATTTCTACATACTTGTAGATTTTCCAAGCTTTCCTCTTGTTGATTTCTAGTTTCATAACATTGTGGTCAGAAAAATACTTGGTATGATCTCTATCTCCTGAAGTCTGCCAAGACTTATTTTGTATTCTGTCATATGGTCAATCCTGGAGAATGTTCCACGTGTACATTAAAAGAATGTATATTCTGCTTCTGTTGCATTGTATGTTCTGTTAAGCTCTCTTTGTACTAATGCCTGGTTCAAGTCTGGTGTTTACTTCTTGACTTTCTGTCTGCATCTGTTCATTGCTGAAAGTGGGGTTTTGAAGTCCCCTGCAATTATTGTGTTGCTGTCTACTCTGTCAGATATGTTAGTATTTGCTTAATATATTTAGGTGCTCCAATGTTGCATGTGTATATATGCATAATTATGTTTTCTTGATGAATTTACCTCTAAATCGTTACATACTGACCTTTGACTCTT